GTGTTCATAGAACTTCAGAGATTCTCATAGAAATTCCGAGTAGTTCACAGAACTTCTGAGATGATCTTAGTATTTCTGAGCAGTTCATAGAACTTCTGAGAGGTTTGTTCTATAACTCTCAAAGCTCTCATAGCACTTCCGAGATGTTCATTAAACTTCCAGGATGAGCATGAAACTTTTGAGACGATCATAGAACTTTCAAGATGTTCATAGAATTTCCAAAATGTCCTGAGAACGTCCGACTAGTTCATAGAACTTCCGTGCAGTTGACAGGACTTTCGAGTAATTCATAGAATTTTCGACATGTTTATAGAACTTCCGAGCAGTTGATAGAATTTTCGAGATATTCATAGAACTTCGAAAATGTCCCTAGAACTTCCGAGGTGTTCATATCAGAGATTCTCATATAGCTTAAGAGATTCTCATAGAATTTCCGAGATGATCTTAGAATTTCCTAGCATTCCCTAGAACTTCCGAGGTGGGTGTTCGTAGAACTTTCTTGCAGTTGACAGGACTTTCGAGTAATTTATAGAATTTTCGAGATTTTTGTCGAACTTCCGAGATGTTCATTGAACTTCCGAGATGTTCATTGAACTTCCGAGATATTCATAGAACTTTCGAGGTGTTCATAGAACTTCCAAGAGGTTTGTTCTATAACTCCCAAAGCTCTCATAGAACTTCCGAGATGTTCTTTGATGTTCCAATATGAGCATGGAACTTCTGAGATGATCACTGAACTTACGAGCAGTTGATAGAACTTTCGAGATATTCATAGAACTTCAGAAATGTCCCTAGAACTTCCGAGGTGTTCATATCAGAAATTTTCATAGAACTTCAGAGATTCTCTTAGAATTTCCGAGATGCTCTGAGAATTTTCGAGCAGTTCATAGAACTTCCGAGAGGTTTGTTCTATAGCTCCCTAAGCTCTCATAAAACTTCTGAGATGTTCATAAAACTTCCAAGATAAGCATGGAACTTCTGAGATTCTCATAGAACTTCCGAGCAGTTCATAGAACTTTCGAGATGTTCATAGATCGTCTAAAATATCTCTAGAACTTCCGACTAGTTCATATAACTTCCGTGCAGTTGATTGGCCGTTCGAGTAATTCATAGAATTTTAGAGATGTGTGACGAACTTCCGAGATGCTCATTGAACTTCCGAGTTGTTCACAGAACTTCCGAGATGATCTTACACATTCCGACCAGTTCATAGAACTTTCGAGAGGTTTGTTTTATAACTCCCAAAGCTCTCATAGCACTTCCGAGATGTTCATGGAACTTCCAGGATGAGCATGAAACTTCTGAGATGATCATAGAACTTCCGAGCAGTTAATAGAACTTTCAAGATGTTCATAGAATTTCCAATATGTCCTTAGAACGTCTGACTAGTTCATAGAACTTCCGTTCAGTTGACAGGATTTTCGAGATGTTCATTGAACTTCCGAGTTGTTCTTAGAGCCTCCGAGAAGTTCATAGAACTTCTGAAAGGTTTGTTCTACAACTCCCAAAGCTCTCATAGAACTTCCGAGATGTTCATGGAACTTCTAACATGAGCATGGAACTTCTGAGATGATCATAGAACTTCCGAGCAGTTGATACAACTTTCGAGATATTCATAGAACTTCCAAAATGTCCGAGATGTTCATAGATTCTCATAGAACTTCAGAGATTCGCATTGAATTTCCGAGATGATCTTAGAATTTTCGAGCAGTTCATAGAACTTCCGAGAGGTTTGTTCTATAACTCCCAAAGCTCTCATAAAACTTCCGAGTTGTTCATGAAACTTCCAAGATGAGCATGGAACTTCTGAGATTCTCATAGAAATTCCGAGCAGCTCATAGAACTTTCGAGACGTTCATAGAACGTCCAAAATGTCCCTAGAACTTCCGACTAGTTCATATAACTTCCGTGCAGTTGATTGGCCGTTCGAGTAATTCATAGAATTTTCGAGATGTGTGACGAACTTCCGAGTGGTTCACAGAACTTCCTAGATGATCTTACACATTCCGACCAGTTCATAGAACTTCCGAGAGGTTTGTTCTATAACTCCCAAAGTTCATGGAACTTCTGAGATGATGATAAAGTTCCAAGTAGTTGATAGGACTTTCGAGATGTTCATAGAACTTTCAATATGCCCTTAGAACTTCCGACGTTTTCATAGAGCTTCAGTGATTCTCATAGAACTTCAGAGATTCTCATTGAATTTCTGAGATGATCTTAGAATTTCCGAGCAGTTCATAGAGCTTCCGAGAGGTTTGTTCTATAACTCCCAAAGCTCTCATAGAACTTCCGAGATGTTAATGAAACTCCCACTATGCTCATAAAACTTCCGAGCAGTTAATAGAACTTTCGAGATGTTCATAGAACTTCTGACTAGTTAATAGAACTTCCATGCAGTTGACCGACTTTTGAAGGGTTCATAGAATTTTTGAGGTGTTCATAGCACTTCAGAGATTCTCATAGAAATTCTGAGTATTTCTTAGAACTTCCGAGATGATCTAAGAATTTCTGAGCAGTTCATAGAACTTTCGAGAGGTTTGTTCTATAACTTCCAAAGCTCTCATAGAACTTCCGAGATGTTCATGAAACTTCCAAGATGAGCATAGAATTTTTGAGATGATGATATAACTTCCAAACAGTTGATAGAACTTTTGAGATGTTAATAGAACATCCTAAATGTCCCTAGAACTTCCAAGGTTTTCGTAGAACTTCACAGATTCTCATAGATCTTCCAAGATGTACACAGAACTTCCGAGATGATCTTAGAATTTCCGAGCAGTTCATAGTACTTCCGAGAGGTTTGTTCTATTACTCCCTAAGCTCTCATAGAACTTCCGAGAAGTTCATGAAATTTCCAAGATGAGCATGGAACTTCTTAGATGATTATAGACCGTATGACCTGTTCATGGAACTTTTGGGGTGTTCATAGAATTTCCGAGGTTTTCATAGATCTTTCGAGATGTTCAAGTTTTCCAAATCTCAACGCGATTCGAAATATAAAATATTTGTTTCCCCCAGGATTTACCTTCTACCAGAGATGGATCGCTCTTTTAGGACTTTTTTCGTTACTTTTTAATATAGAATGCTAACGTTAAATCCAATTGAATTTTCAGTTAATCCATAGTTAGTTTAATCACTTTAATCACCTTATGAAAATTGAAAACTTCCGCACCACAGAGCCACACTCTGTGAATTTCACTGAAGGTACACTTGAGAGCGCTCTCGGTATAAGTAAGGGTCCTGTTCATTTTTCTGGAGTTAGGTACTCTATTCTGAAGTCTGTGAAAGGGAATCTAGATGACGTAGAACACAACGACCAATGTAACACGCATTAATTATGTCAGTGGGAAAAATCGTCCAATGTAACATGTCCGGACATGGGGCCTCCCTTATCTCAGTCGGAAAGGCGCTGCTTAAAGCAAGGCCATGCTGTGGAGGTGGCTGGGTTCGATTCCCGGCCCGGTCTAGGAATTTTTCGCGTTGGAAGATTTCTCGACTTCCCTGGGCATAGAAGTATGATTGGACTTGCCACACAATTATACTAATGCAAATGATGATACAGGCATCGAAAGCTCTCAACTAATAACAGGGGAAATGCATCTAGAACACTAAGCTAATATGCGATTGAAATGCAAGGCAGAAGAAGAAGAACAGGTCCAAAGTAACTAACTAACAACGACGTATGTATTGTTTTCCATATTGTAGCCTGAAGTAGAGAAACAAAATGTCTTCGCCCAAAAATCATTCTACGGAGCTGGTTACTCATGGAATAACTATGAGTAAGCACCACGACAGGCTTTTAGACCATAATTTGAAGAATGGTTTAAAACTTTGATTGATCTTACAATGCTGCTTGGGTATTGTGTTCTGAGGTTATCGGGCCGTGTCCAGAGTGGCCCGGATCTATAAGTCATATTGAAACCCGGATAGTTTATATTTTTTAAATGGCTTTAATCCTTCAAGATACAGTGCACACATCCTCAATTCACGCTGATTCATAGCCCTCAAATGATTTTAAGTCACGACTTTTGTTTGAAATTAAACTCTGCACAGTCAGTGACAGGAATTTTTACAACCATTTGATGGTCAAATTTTACAACCTTTTTGTGTTTGAATTTTAATAATACCTACCTCACTCACAAACGACAATTGAACCGCGCACGCATTCCGAGTCATTCCAAATAATGTTCGCTGCCACCACTTGCAAAAGAACTGCAACCAACTTTGATCACGTCGCGGAAATCGGCAATAAACCGTTCGATTGCGATCAGTGCAAATTATGCCAAAATCGATTATAGATTGCCGCCCGTCAGGTTTCACAGCCACAGTAGCAGCTCTCCAATCCAATACTTTAAATCGCTCTTCCCCCCACCCAAAAGCGTCCAATTAGTCCGGAGTGCAGTTCAATTTGAATCGAATAGTGATCGTGAAAACATCGAAATCATTACACTGGAAGTGAGTGACATTGTGCTCGAATGGTGGTGATATTGATCGTGCTACCATCGCCGCCACCAGCATGCCAGCGATCATCTTCAACGTTCCATCATGCCGAAGCGGGCGGCAAAGCGGCTGTTCCGCATCCAGCTACCAGTAACCAAAGCAAACCCGAATTCGAACCGGTTCGAACGCACCGGATCATCAGTGCAGCGACTGCCGCTTCGGTACGGTCTCCCTACCGCCGATCGGATGACACTGCCGTTTCCTTCGTCCGGTTGAGGTACCGACCGATCCAAAGTGTAACTCCGTTGCTCACGACCACTGACGGTAATAACAACCACCAATACCATCGGTGGAAGCGATCACTGCCACCGTCACTGTCGTCGCCACGTCAAAGTCAACGTAAACAATCGAAGCGGTCTAACGTTACTAACAACAACAACAAGGCTAAGAACGACAGCAGCAATCGACATCTGTCAGCGAAAAATATTAGTGACAATAACGATAGCAGCAATCATCTTCGGTACACATCGAGAGTAATCATTTCCGATGAATTTTCACAGGTGGACATCAAGTCGGACGATAACGAGGTCGAGCCGGTCAGTCGGGAAGGTGAGTGGATTTGTTTCATTTTGTTATTTTCTATGCACACTCACCCCTCAATTATGGATCAGTCGGTCTAGCGTGTCAATCAAATGAAAGTGATCCATAATTGTGGGGTCAATGTTTTACATGTGACGTTACAATAGTTAGAATATGTCATTACATATGTTTTTAACTTACATCATCTTCACTTTATGGTGATTCTTTGAAGAGTCCAAAAATGGCCTTCATGCCCTATCACTTCAAGTTTTCTAGAGCACATCTCTCGGACACTGTTGCGACATCGCTTATGAAATTGGAACTCCTTGTTTGCTGCACTGCAGCACACATGGAGTTCCAGTTTCATTATTGTATGTTTTGTAAGTGCTGATATTTGTGCTCTTAAAATTTTCGAGGTGACAATGCGAATAATCAGAAATAAGGTTTCCACAGCAATTCTGTAAGATATGTTTCATGATTAGTATGTACATTAGGGTGGGTCAAGTTTGTATTGTGGATCAAAACCCCCTGCTCCCCACTGCTGTTTCCATCCGTATTGAGGTCCCCAATAACTTTTTGCACAGAATTCGAATCAATTTACGATGTTGGACAGAGATGTCCTGAATTGTTTTCCCATTCTAAGTCACATTTTCCCATAGAAGGATTTCACGCCAACTCGACCAGTGGTTGGAAGCACTCTCTCAGATTCCAATGAAACTTTGCGGGTGTTAGGAGTTTGTTTTTTTTTTAACTTGTTCGTTTATTTGGAAGGCTCAATCGCGTTAGCTTTACGGAGCCGATAGTTCATTGTTCTTTGTTTGTAACAAAATTCACTTAATTTTAACTTAATAAAGTTAGAGAGGTACATTGTCGAAGGATAGGATCAGGAGAGGAGCTTGGGGGTAAGGTTTCGTTGTCTCATCAGAGCGTTGTCGCCAGTATGAACGGTAGTGCGGTTCTAGTTTCGTCTGGATAAGATTTTGTCTACTTAAACAATTTTACATAGGGGAAATGGATGTTATGGCAGCCTAAATGCCCCTAATTTGGGCCCATACATACATTCAGCAATGGACTATATTTTCAATAACGACAAAAATATCCATTAGTACCAACCCAATGACACGTTCATCTAGATAAAATAGATAAATAGCAAGTTTTTAGCGATGGGCCCAATCTTAGATCCATAGGCCAACATTTGAGCCATTTACCCTACTTAATTTCCTTGAAAAAAATCTAAGAAAAAAAACTATTTGAATGAAGTGGAACTCTTTTCCACTAAAAAAAAATCTGAATTATAAATGATAAGACCTACATAAATGTTGTATATTTAGAACTTCCAAGATGTTCATGAAACTTCCACAATGCTCATAGTGGAGATGATCATAGAACTTCTGAGCAGTTGACCGGCTTTCGAGTAATTCATAGAATTTTCGGGATATGTGTCGAAGTTCCGAGATGCTCATTGAGCTTCCGAGATTCTCATAGAATTTCCGAGATGATCTTAGAATTTATGAGCAGGTCATAGAACTTCCGAGAAGTTTGTTCTATAACTCCCAACGCTCTCATAGAACTTCCGTTGCAGTTCCGTTTGAATTCTCTCTAAATTTCGACTCAATTCTGTTTCAATTCCGTTTCAATTCCAACACAATTTTGTCTCAATTCCATTTCAATTCCGCTTTGATTTCGTCTCACTTTTGTCCTAATTCCATCTCAATTCCGTTTCAATTCCGTTTCAATTCCGTCTCAATTACGCCTTAGTCTAAATTTCGTTTAAATTCCGTCTCAATACCATCTCAATTCCGTTTCAATTCCGTCTCAATTCCGCCACAAATCTGCTTCATTTCCGTTGAATTCCGTTTAAAATTCGTCATTATTTCGTTTCGACTTCGTCTCAATTCCGTCTAAAATCCGTCAGTCTCAATTCAGTAACAATGCTATCTCAATTCTTCACTATTCCGTCTAATCCGTCCTATATCCGTCCTAATTCCACTTCAATTCCGGCACAATTCCGTATCAATAACGTCTCAATTTTGTTTCTACACCATCTTTTTTTCCGTCCGTTTCAATTCTGTCTCAATTCCATTTCAATTCCGTCGCAATTCCGTTTGAATTCTGTCTCAATCCCGTCTCCATTCCGTTTGAATTCCCTCTTAATTCCGTCGCAATTTCGTTTCAATTCCGACACAATTTTGTCTCAATTCCGTCTTAATTCCGTCCGTTCCAATTCAGTCTAAATTCTATCTCAATTCCATCACAATTCCATCTCAATTTAGTTTTAATTCCGTCTTAATTCCGTCCCAATTTCGTCCCAATTTCGTCTCAATTCCGTCCCAATTCCGATTCAATAACGTCTTAGAACGAATTCGATTCCATATCTTTTCCGTCTCAATACCTTCTCAATTCCGTCTCAAGTCCATCTCATTTCTATTTCAATTCCGTTTCAATGCCGCCTCAATTTCACAACAATTCCTTCTCAATTCCAGTTTTCAGTTTAATTGATCATTAGAGAACAAAGTAACAACATATCAAAATGGACCAAAATTGAGACAGACCGATAGACAGACAGGCAGACGGAATTGAGGTGGGATTGAGATGGAGTTGGAACCGAATTGAGATGGAATTAAAACTGGAATTAATTGTGACTGAATTGAGAGATTGATTTGTTACGGATTTGAAATACATTGAGACGGAATTGAGATAGAATTGGGTCGGAATAGTGACAGAATAGAGTTGTACATGATACGGAATTGAGTTGGAATTGAGAGGGAATTAAGACGCAATCCTATCGGAATTGATACGGAATTGAGATAAAATTAAGACGGAATTGAAACGGAATGGAGTCGGAATTTTAGGACATTTAGACGTAATTGAGACAGAATTGAGATAAAATTGAAACTGAATTGACGTGGAATTGAGAAGGAATTGTTGTGAAATTGAGGCGGCATTGAAACGGAATTGAGACAGAAATGAGAAGGACTTGAGACGGAATTGAGAAGGCATTGAGACTCACGAGGTGGAATTGAGATGAACTTGAGACGATATTGAGTCGGAATTGAGACAAAATTAAAACAGAATTGAGACGGAATTGAATGAAACTGCGGAGTAATTGAGACGACAGAATTGTGACAGACTTGAATTTGCGACGAAATTGATTCATAATTGAGACGAAATTGAGACGAAATTGAGACGAAATTCTGAAGAATTTAGATAGCATTATTATTGAATTGAGACGGACGGATTTTAGAACTAAGGCGGAATTGAAACGGAATTGAGATGGAATTGAGGCGGCATTGAGATGGTATTGAGACGGAATTGAAACGGAATTTAGACTAAATTGAAACGGAATTGAGACTAAATTTAGGCGGAATTGAGACGAAATTGAGGCGGAATTGAGACGAAATTGAAACGGAATTAAGACGTAATTGAGACAGATTTGAAACGGAATTGAAACGGAATTGAGATAAAATTAAGACGGAATTGAAACGGAATGGAGCCGGAATTTTAGGGCATTTAGACGTAATTGAGACAGAATTGAGATAAAATTGAAACTGTATTGACGTGGAATTGAGAAGGAATTGTTGTGAAATTGAGGCGGCATTGAAACGGAATTGAGACAGAAATGAGATGGACTTGAGACGGAATTGAGAAGGCATTGAGACGGAAAAGATATGGAATCGAATTCGTTCTAAGACGTTATTGAATCGGAATTGGGACGGAATTGAGACGAAATTGGGACGAAATTGGGACGGAATTGAGACGGAATTAAAACTAAACTGAGATGGAATTGTGATGGAATTGAGATAGAATTTAGACGGAATTGGGACGGACGGAATTAAGACGAAATTGAGACGAAATTGTGTCGGAATTGAAATGGAATTGCGACAGAATTTAGAGGGAATTCAAGTGGAATTGAGACGAAATTGAGACGGAATTCAAACGGACGGAAAAAAATGGACTATAAACAAAATTGAGACGTTATTGATACGGAATTGTGTCGGAATTGAAGTGGAATTGAAACGGAATTATGACGGAATAGAAATGGAATTCGGACGGAAATGAGACGGAATTGTGATGGAATTGAGATGGAAAAGCGATGGGCTTGAAACGGTCCTTAGGCGTTATTGAAACAGAACTGAGATGGAATTGAATCTGAATTGAGACGAAATTTAGTCGGAATTGAGACGGAATTGGAACAGAATTGAGCCGGCATTGTGACAGACTTGAATTTGTGACGAAATTGAGTCATAATTGAAACGCAATTGTAACAAAATTGAGACGAAATTGATTAAATTTGAGGCGGAATTGAGACAGAATTCAAATGGAATTGTGAAGAATTAAGATAGCATTGTTACTGAATTGAGACGGATGGATTTTAGACGGAACTAAGGTGGAAATTAGGCGGATTTGTGGCGGAATTTAGACGGAATTGAGACGGAATTGAAACGGAATTGAGATGGAATTGAGACGGAATTAAGATGGCATTAAGGCGACATTGAGATGGCATTGAGACGAAATTGAAACGGAATTCAGACGAAATTAAAACGGAATTGAGACAAAATTGAGGCGGAATTGAGACGAAATTGACACGAAATTGACACGGAATTAAGACGTAATTGAGACGGATTTGAGATGGAATTGAGACGGAATTAAACTGAGATGGAATTGAGATACAATTTAGAAGGAATTGTAACGGACGGCATTGAGACGAAATTGTGTCGGAATTGTGCCGGAATTGATGTGGAATGGAAACGGAATTAGGACGGAATTGTGACAGAAATGAGACGGAATTGTGACGGAAAAGAGATGGGATTGAAACGGTCCTAAGGCGTTATTGAAACGGAACTGAGATGGAATTGAATCTAATCTAAACTGACATGGAATTGAATCTAAACTAAACTGACATGGAATTATGACGGAATTGAGATAGAATTTAAACGGAACTGAGACGGAATTAAAAAGGAATTGTGGTGGAATTGAGACAGAATTGAAATGGAATTGGGACGGAATTGAAACGGAATTACGATGGAATT